AAATAAGGTTTGACTACAGGAGCAAAACTGACCAGTGGGTCGGTTTCGGTTTCCACCTCAGGTAACCCGACCAGGTCGGGTCGGTTGGGAAAACCCCAGTAAACCGACCCAACCCGACCCGTGTACAGCCCTAATGATGGGTGCTAACATGAATGGTAGCACAGTGTCTTTAAAAGGGATATGCAGGCTTCATGTTCATATGATCATAAGGGCTTTCACATTGCATTTGACTTTAGTGTCCTGATTTTGGGTGCAGGATGCACCTTGTGCATCGTTGTTAAATTCTATGTCTTGGCACAGTTACATCTAACCACCCTATTTCTACAATCTACATATGTTTATGCACAACATTCATGCACATACACAGACTGTGTTCCATTATCAGTACCTTTTCCTTTTCCTTGTTTTTAGTTTTCCATTTATGAACTTTTTCCATGTTTCATTCTAGGTGAAAAGAAGGAACTCAGAAGAAAGTTCCACTCAATGGACTACTGGGATTGCTGAGGTGCAACTCCCCATTGAGTATGTTATTTCCTACTTATTTTTTCTGTTATACATGGAACATTCTGTTTCCATTTATCTGTCTGAACATCAACCAATGTGAATGTATCTGGTGATTTTAATGTTATGACTAGTTGCATCTGAAAAGGAAAAATGGGTGACCTTATTCTTGCTTGTAATTCTACTTGTTCACATTGTTATTGTGACTGAAGTTATGAGGTCACTGCCATTTGTTCACCCAAAAGAGGAAAAAAGGGAAAAGGGGGAAAAAGGAAAAGGAGCAGGAAGTTATTTTCGTGGATGATTATGGGTTGCTTCTTCTGGTTCACTTGTCTTTCAAGAGGTTATTTACTTTAATTATTTGCTTCATGTTGTTTAACTATTGCAGATACAAGTTGAGAAATATTGAAGAAACAGAAGCTGCCAAAAAGCTTCTTCAGGATAAAAGGCTTGCTGGTCGGACTAAGACCGAGTTGGGCATCCCTTCAAGTTACAGTGCAGATTATTTTCAACGTGGCAAAGACTATGCAGAAAAACTTAGGAGAGGTTGTTTACTGTTTTTGAAATTATTGTTGGTCATGTGATATGATAAGACATTTTAATCTTTTGTCCAGAAAATACTTGAATGCCACATCTCTAGAAAACGTTTAGGTTACCATGCTCTGGGACCAAAGTTCGCAAGTCAATGCTGAGACTAATCTTTACTATTTAGATCTAGTGACTCTTCTCAAAAGTCGTGGTCCCATCCTCCCTGATGCCTGTAGACCCAAAGAAGTTTTATGGTATTTAATTTTATATTTTCATAGTTTTATTTGTATGTTTTTGAATTTTGAATCATAAATTCAATGCCTGCAGAGCATCCGGAACTATACAAGGATAGAGGTGTGCAGGATAATGGCACAGGCTCCAAACCAGCAGATTCTGCTAGTGCAGACTCAGCAGGGCGGAGGCAAGCTGCTACAGATGAGTTCATGCTCGAGCGGTTCCGCAAGCGAGAAAGGCAACGTGTCATGCGGAGATAGGAAACGCAAGCCAATCATTTAATTTCCAACCTCTTGTGGTATTCTGATGGTTTCTGCAGATGCTTATTTCTCTTTACAAGGTATCCATGGTTATGGGATCAGTTGCTTCCAGTGTAATTTTGTGTTACTATAGTATAATCTGAATTGAGGATGTTAACGGATGGCAATTAGATCATATGATGCAATTACTCAACATGAGTGTTGGACATTTGAGTCTGATTTAGGCCGCAAATGTGCACCTGTATTCTCCAAGCAGCTCTGTAGTTGAAATTGTTTGATTAATCTGGATGTACCAACTCCAAGTTATTGATTATTGCCACCCAAGAATTTTTAAATGATTATAAACCTTTGATTCCGTTTTATTTGATAAAGTTCTATTAAAGATTTTTGCCAAATTTTGGTGATCATAACCTGCGATCGAGTTTACTGTAAAAATAATGTGTGTTAAACATCCATTACCCTGTAGTAGCATCTATGGAGATTGTTGTGTTTGCATGCAACCTGTTCTATTTTTTTTCCTTGATACAAAGGAGATAAATTAGCACCAGAAGGGAAGGGCTTTGCCAGCCGCATCTAAAAAAACAATAAAATTAAGGGTAAATTACAGATAGGTACCTGTACTTTGGGGGTAATGACAGATAGGTAGGGGTGTCAATTGGACTGGATTTGGTTCAATCCGATCCAGTCCAATGTGAGTCCATTATAAATGGACCAGGTCCAATCCAATCCAATGAATGTATTGGACTAATTTGGATTGGTCCAATTCAATGTCTGGACCATCCAGTCTGTTCAAATTCATTTTGATTTAGATTGGTTTCAACCCAAACCCGGTCCATTGACATATATATTCTTATCTTATATCAATGGACCAAATATTGGCTTAATCCAATCCAATCTAATATAAATTTTTTATGGATAGACCAGGTCCAATCTAACCTAATAAATATTTTGGACCGGATTGGTCCAATCCAATATGACTTGTTGGTCCATCCAATCCATCCAAATTGATTTTGGACTGGACGAGGTCCAATCCAAAACCGGTCCATTGACACTCTTATAGATAGGTACCCTAAACTCTTAAAAATAGATACTTAGATCTGTCTGTTAGTATTCCATCAGTTAAACATTACATAATGTTAAAAATATCCTTCATGGTGACGTTCTCACATGGAGAGCAAATAATAGATTCAAATTTTTTGGCGATAGTATTCTTTGGTGATGATTTTATTTCGTAGAATGATCTCAAAAATATATAAGAAGGGTATTTTTGATATTATGTAATGGTTAACCGATGGAATACTAATAGATGGACCCAAGTGTATTTTTGAAAATTCAGGGTACTCAGGTGTTGTAATTAAAAGTTCAAGATACCTATTTATCACTACCCCAAAGTACAGGATACCTATCTATAATTTACCCTAAAATTAAACTCCCATGGGAGATCTAGTATGATGGAATCCTCTTCTCTTTTAGTGTGATTGTATGCGATCCTCGTAGAAGATTGACGAGCAAGCATCCAGCAGTCTTCCATCAACACTTTGCAGTTCCATGGGATCCTCAAACTACCTTGAAGCATTTTATGACAAGAAGAGAATCACCTTCGATAGTGGCCGAGGCCTTGTTTACCTGCAAAGCAAGCTTACGGGCCTTTTTGGAGCCCATGTCTCAGCTACAGAGATAGTTGTGATTCCAATTTTGCCCATTTTTTGTATGGAGGGTTTCACCTCTATGGTTTCTCTTTCTCACAACACAACCCAAGGCAACTTCCATCTTGTTTAGTAGATGCATCAAAATTGATTTTGATTGAGCCGAGGTCAGGTGGGACTCATTTTATTCCAAGATATAGTTTGCATTTGCCTATTTTTTTTTCCCTTCGTATAATTCCAAGCCTTTTATAATGAGGTATTGGGGAAGTTTTGTTATTGAGGACTTTATTATTTCTATTTTTTCATATATATATATATATCAAAAGGTATAACCCCTGGAGGGGCGTATCGAGAATCCATTTATAACCCAGCTACCCTCTGAACCAGTGTTTGACCCGATATAACCCTTGGAGGGGTGTATTGGAAATCCATCGGCACGATACGTATCAACCAATACGGGCCGATACATATCAATACTTTGAACCTTGCCACAGGCAGTTCAGGGTTATGTTTACTTTTCTTGACAAGGTTCTTTCTTGTTGGCAATTTATTTCTTATTGCTTGCCAACGAAAAACTTTAGGGTCTATTTGGTTTAAAGTTGGAATCAGAATTGAAATTGGAATCAGAATGGTCTATTCCCATAATCTGGTTTAGACAGGAATGGGAATGAGAATTGGAATAAACAGGAATGAGATTTCATTCTTAAAGAAGGGATAGGGAATGGCCATTCCCTAAACGGGGGAATGCCATTTCAGTAGGAATGGGAATGGAATTCCAATTCCACCCAACTAAATAATTGGAATCGGAATAACCCATTTCGATTCCGATTCCAAACCCCTATTCCCGTGAACCAAATGGGGCCTTAGTTTTTTCCAAGCATAAGATTTCTCCTGATTTTTTGATAATTCTTAACAATGATCGGTCAAGATTTTCCTTATTCCTCAAAAAATTGTAAGCAGATTTTATTGTGAGATTGCCATGCTGACTTAGGCTCCACAAAACCATGTCTTCCGTCTCAGGTGAGGGATATGGATAGCCTTAATTTTGTTTGTTATTTCTGTTGGAATCATTTTATTTAATTTGTTTGTGTCCCAATTTCTAAGTACTGGGATTTATAACCTCCCTCATTTTTCAAGTTCAAATCTTCATCATTTCCGTTTCTATCTCTTACCAACTCTTCTAATAGCCTCTTGACAACATTTTGAGCCATCTCCAATACTCTATCTGCATTTTTGAACTCGGTAGTTTAGGAAATTTGAATGATTTAAATATTTATTTTCAATCACTTGAACCCATAAATTGTCTTGTTGAACTAAAATTTTCCATCAGATTTGCATGGTTTACTTGTTTGGCTTTTCTTATTCCATTATCCCATTTTACTGGAGCAAAGGATTTGTTATTTTGTTTTCTTCCTCGGAAGAATTGTCTTTGAGCTTTGTCCATCCGTTTAGTGATTTCTAAGGGAATTCCAAACAAAGTCATTTGATATTGGGCCATGTTCCCCACAACTTATCTAGATTAGGAGGGTGATCTTTTCCCTAGGGATAAGAATTTACTTTTTCACCCTTCTAATTTTTGTTTAATTTTTTCTAATAAATCCTTGATGGTATTCCTTATAACCCTTTTACTAGTTAAGGGTGCTCCCAAGTATTTTTCCTCTTTATTAGTTCTTGGTATTCCGGCCATCCTTGCCAACATTCTCTAAAATCTTTGTGGTATAGTTTTTGGAGAAATACAAGGATGATTTTTGAAAATTTGGCTTCTGCCCCAAGGCCATTGTATGTATATTGTAGTCATGCAAATTGTAGCATAGGTATTTGGGCCCTGCCTTGAAGTTTTGATTTGATGCCTAGGTGGGAGTAATTTCCTTGTGAGTATTTTTCTATTTGTCTTGTTAAAACTTCACTTAAGATCACAAATAAGTATGGGGATAGGGAGATCGACTTCCATCGGGGCAAGTCCGTGCCCACATCATTCCAACTGTCTTTTGCAATCTTGCATTGGGAATATCTCTTCATGAAATAAAGTATATAAATATTTAAATATTTTCAATGTAAAGATATATAGACTGCCCGAATGAACTTTGCCTTGACCGAAGCTGAATTCGGGAATAAGGGGTCTCTTTGTCTCATGATCTTATCCCTTTGCTTGGTTTAAAAGTACTTAATAGGGATCTATTTACCAAAATCTAGAAGCTTATAGAGGTCACACATTCCATGACCCATCCTATTCATTTCTTATGGAATCCAAATTTGATGAGCACTATTTTTAGAAAATCTCAATCTACTCTATCATATGCTTTTCCATCATTCTATGTTAATCCTGTAGGCTACTACCCCAACTTTTCCTTTCTTTTTTCTTTATCGAGTAAAATACCTCAAAGGCAATTATTTTATAAATTACATTGCATAGATTAATTGGTTTGAGGTTTAAGGGCTTTTCTTTTTTTGGGATGAGAGCCACAAATGTTTTGTCATTTTCCTAGAATGGAAAGATGTCTTCACCGTATTGATGTTGGATTCCTTAATAATATTCCATTATCTTTTTAAGAACCTTGCATTTAATCCATTAGGTCCCCTATGGAGGTTAGTGCCTTCAAGATTTCCCCCTCCTCTATTTCTTTTGTCAGCCTTTGATTGTCCTCCTTTGTGATAATTGAGCTTATTACAGTTAGAATTTCTCTTTTCGGATCCTTATGTTGTTTCACTTTTCAACCTCTTAATGAATCTTTTTGTTATTACATTTTTAACATTATTGGTCCGCCCATGAATCCATGATTAGGATTAGGGATGTAAATAAATTGGATCGGATTTGAATCAGTTATATTCGATTTGATTCGACATTGTTCACGTCTGATCAGATCTGATCTGAAGATCTGATTGGCTCTGATAGGCCTTAATTTGAATTTGAATCCTATCGATAAGTTGAATCTTTGGATATGATCCGATCCGACTTGTTTTCTTTAAAAATTAATAAATTATTAAAAGAAAAATAATATATATCAATTTAACTAAAGAAAAAATAAAAATACATTTTTTAATTATTTTCATCATTATATATACATGTTTTTTATAAAAAATAAACAATATAACAAATTTTTAAAATATAAATAATATATTTATAAATAAATAACACATATATATATATGTATTATATATTAATTTTTATAGATATATAACATATATTGGGTCGAATCTTCTCGGATTGGATTAGGGGGGATCTAAATCCGATCCAATTTCTGAATTTGTGTTTGAATCCTATTATCTGATCCAACTCGAAGATCCAAACACGGGTGGTCCAAATTCGACTATATAGGATTGGATCATGATTCATCCATATGCACCCCTACCCACGATTTGTTTTTTGTTCATTCTCACTGTTGTGGACGTATGAAAAAAATTAGTATTTCTTTCCCCACAGTTTAGACATTGATTTCTTGATTTTTCAGTGGTCAATGAATTTCTCCTCCTTTTAGGACTTTATTTAACTGTTTTTAGAATGCCTCAATTCCCACTGTTTTTGGAATTTCTTGATTTTTTTTCATTCATCATTGGAATGCATCTTCCTTCCTAACAGCCATTGGAAAAGTCAAAAAACAAAATCAAATCTAAAAAGGCTAAAAATACACAAAAATCTAAACTGAAAATACCATCAACAAATAGTCAAAGCCATCATAACCGATATCTCCAAAAGAAATTAGGGAGAATGACGGTTC